ATGACATGGAGGGAGATCGCCAGCAGAGCCACCCCGAGAACCAACGAAGCAAGCACCAACCACCTCGAGGGCAACAGGATGTTTCAAATGCAGAAAGGAAGGGCACCGCACCACCAAGTGCCACTTGCAGACCCCCATCCAGAAGCCTGACTGAGTTCCGGCTGGGAAGACCCCAATGAAACCAAAGGAGATGGCCATGAAAAGCTTGGAGGTTGTCGTGTTCCCAGCTCCATCAAAACAGGGGAAGGGAACTCCGACACCACCGGGAGAACCACCCAACTCATCAGATGACAACTTGGAAGGCGAACCCCTGGTAAGTGGACCCATAGCGCCCCCTCACCAGGACCATAGAACTGTTTAGCCCCGGAATGCCTGAGAAGGTTGCACTCAGAGCACTAATAGACTCCGGCTGCACCCGTTGCCTCATAAGCCCAATTTTAGTAGAGAATTTAGGAATTCTGGTGAGGAGGCTGAAGAAACCGATCTCATTCGGTCAATTAGATGGGTCCATTGCAGGGGGGACACTGGCCACTCTCGCCACATTACCCATCCCACTCACCATAGGAGATCATGTAGAGACTATAACATTTGTAGTGACCCCTTATCCTGGGATGGCATGGCTAACCAAGTGGAACCCACGGGTGGACTGGAGGACGGGAGAACTCAGATTCCCAGACGGAGAGGCAGTAAGAACCCCGACTCACCCCCCAAATGGGGGAAGCCCCTCCAAGAGTGCAGCAGCAGTGGGGGAAAGAGAGTTACAAGACATACCAGAGGAATACTGGGACCTAGCTGAAGTATTTAGTGAGGAGAAATCTGACGAACTGCCCTCCCACTGACCCATGGACTGTTCCATTGAGATCCTCCCAGGGGCAAAATTGCCCAAGCCAAAACTGTATTCCATGAGCCCACGGGAGCTAGAGGAGATGCAAAAGTTCATAGACAAAAATCTGGAAAGGGGTTTCATCTAGCCGGCAAAGCCCAAGACCACAGCCCCCGTGTTATTTCGAGAAAAGAAAGATGGGACTCTTTGCCTCTGCGTGGACTATAAATCTCTGAACGCAGTGAGCGAGAATAACCTATACCCCCTCCCTCTTGTGAAGGACATGCTAGCACACCTATCAAAAGGATTTTTTCCCCCAAAACTGGACTTGAGGGAGGCGTATTACAGTATTAGAATTAAAGAGGGAGATGAGTGTAAAACCATTTTCAATTGCCCCTTAGGGTGTTACCAGTTCAGGGTTCTACCCTTTGGCCTTCAAGGGGCACCTGCAGTATTCATGCAATTAATAAATGACGTGCTCCGAGAGCACCTGTATAAAGGGGTGCTTGTTTACCTGGACAGTATCCTGATATTCACTGAAACAAAAGAGGAACATGTGAAATTAGTCAGAACTGTGCTGAAAAAACTCCAGGCAGCTCACCTGTATGCTAAATTGTCAAAGTGTGAATTTCATAAGGAAAATATTGACTACCTGGAGCATCGCATCTCGCTAAGTGGCATAGAGATGGACCCTGAGAAAATCTGAGCTGTACTAGAATGGTGTGATGACCCAGGGCACAGTACAGAGGCAAAACAGTCAACTGGCAGTTCAAACCGCCCTTTATTTGCTCCAATTTTCCCCAAATGCTCTCACGTTTCTGGCAAGCTGCAGAATAAAGTAAGACACACACACACCTTCAGCAGCCTCTGGCTGCAAGTAGTTTCACAAGTTTTTAATTCTTCAGGCAGGGAAAGTGTGTGTATGGAACAAGCTGTCCTCCTTCAAGTTTCGACTCACACACAGTTAGATTAGAAGAGTAATTTACTCAAGGCCACGTAGATAACAAGGAAAGAAACATATATCCAAAATCTAATGAGCTTGCCTGAGCAGTTTCAGAAGAGAAGCCAAAATTCAATCCAAGGTCTTTCAACACTAAATCAAGTTTCTCAGCCAGTCCAATGGTCAGAGTTTCAGAGTCTCCAAGCAGAAATCACAGCACAGAACAAGAGATCAGAGAGTTGTTTCCAAGATCAGCAATGGTACACAAAATGCCCCTTCCCACAGCGTCTCCTTAAGTCTCAGTCTCCAGATGTGCCTTGTGGAGAGGGGCAGGGCGCTCTCCTCCCAAGTAGTTGAGCCTGCCTGCATTGTTCCCTCCTTCTCTCCATTCTCCATGCTCTAGGATCATGAGGGGGTGACTCTTGCTCATCACCTGAGCTCTGTCTCTCATGTTCATCCTGTCCCAATCTTGAAAGACCCCGGCCTGCCTCAGCCTGCTCTTCCCCACATTCCTCTGAAGCCATAGACACCCCTCCCTCGACCTCCATCGGCTCCAGTTCCAGCTCATGTTCCTCAGCAGATTCAGGCTCTGATGGGGGCATGACAAATGGGCTCCATCCTGCACCAGGAAGCAATTGCAAAGTTTCCTTGGATTTGCTAATTTTACTGGCAATTTGTTCCCTCCTTTGCACAGATCACACTACCAATTACTAACTTGTTAAAGACAAAAAGGGAGGGAAAACCGAAGCCAAGTCAGCCATTGAAATGGACAGTAGAATGTCAAACCGCATTTGAAAGGTTAAAAAGACTATTTTCTGCAGAACCAGTTCTAAGGCACCCTGACTCCAAAAAAACCTTTCGTGATTCAGGCTGATGCTAGTTACGTGGCTGTGAGGGCAATACTATTACAAGAGAATGATAAAAGGAAATTGCAGTCTTGCGCATACACATCAAAGAAACTCACAGAGACAGACCAAAGGTGGGCAGTTTGGGAGAAGATTTACATGGTCCAATGGGCCCTTCTAACCTGGCGGCACTTCCTGGAGGGGAACAAAATTCCTTTCCAAGTATGAACCGACCACAGGAATCTGGAAGCACTAAAAACACCCAGGAAATTGACCGCCAAGCAAGCGAGATGGTCGCAGCATTTCCACTGGTTTAATTTCACTCTAAAGCACTTGCCGGGGGGAAAGAATTTCTTAGAGGATGCATTGTCCAGACTGCCCCAGTACAACAGCAACCGAACAGAAATAACAGACCCACTTATGCCATTAAAGCAATTAGCAGCACAAGTCACCACCCGAGCACAAGCCAAACTTCAAAAGCCCCTAGCGAGCCAAGCAGGCATTGAATTCAAAAAGGTGCTAGAAACCGACGAATGGTTCCTAAGCCACAAGAACCTATGCACCATGATCAATGGGTGGGAGGAAAGCTGTACATCTCAAAAAGCCAGAGACTGACATTCATGTGGCTATGCCATGATTCAAAATCAGCTGGTCATTTTGGGTTTGTAAAAACTTTGCACCTGGTGAAACATCAGTTTTGGTGGCCGTCAATAAAAAAGGACATTAAAAGTTACGTGGCCAGTTGTCCAATTTGTGCTGCGGCGAAGAGAAGGCAAGGAAAGACCCCAAGCTTGCTGCAAACAGTAGCGACCCCATCAGTGCCTTGGAGAGAGATATCTATGGATTTTATTGTGGAGTTACCGGAAAGTGGGGGGAACACAGTTATTTGGGTCGTGACGGATTTGTTCTCTAAACAAGTACATTTTATCCTGTGCCAAAAAATCCCCAATGCAAAGACACTTGCAAAGCTGTTCGTCCAGCATATTTATCGACTTCATGGGGCCCCACAATGAATCAATACAGTTTACATCAGAATTTTGGAAAGCATTCCTGGGACTGTTGGGGACCACACAGGGGTTGTCATCTAGTCATCATCCGCAGACAAATGTGGGACTGAACGGTCAAACTCAGTACTGGAGCAGTACCTACGATGTTTCGTTAAGTACCAGCAGGACAATTGGACCGACCTGCTCCCATTCGCAGAAGTCACCTATAACAACACAGTACATTCTAGCACGGGCTACACTCCTTTCCAGGTGGCAACGGGACAAAGTTTTAACCCGATGCCTGAACTCCCATCGAGTGACCTGACCATCCCTTCCCTGAAGGAGTGGATTGCACAATTACAAAATACCTGGCCAGTCATGAGAAAGGCCTTAGACAAAGCAAGGGAAGCATATAAATTCCAAGCAGATAAGAAACGAAGTGAACCCAAACCATTTCAAGTAGGAGAGAAAGTTTACCTGTCAACAAAACTTTGATAAAAGCATCTAATAAAATAAAACTAGACATAATTTGAACCAAGTACCCAGGTCCTTCCTGCTGCCTTCATCATCTGCTGCCTCAATTGCTTCAATTAGTTCAGTATGAAAAATCAGAGATCTGGACTTGGTGTTTCTGTGGCTGTCTCTAATAACAATAGACAATTAAAACCAAATCTCCATGTACTTGTCCTTCTTTTTCAAAGAGCTCAGCATGTTTTCCCATATCCCTCATAAATCCTTGAGTCTACTTAGAAAGCTTTGTCATTGTGGGAGATCCTTGACATCTATTGGGTGGGCTGATAAGTGATAAGTCATTTTCTTATCCAAGGAGTTATGAGTTGGCTACAAGGTCAGTTCTCTGTGGAATAGAAAGGCAGGCCCCAAGTGAAGGCCATGGGGAATTGAAAGCACATAAATGTTATTCCCAGGAGAACGTTGAATCTAAACAAATTTTCCAGAAGTCAGGAGTTGCAGTTTTCTGCAAACTTGTTGGCCTTCAACAGTCAAACCTGGAATGGTGCCATTCTCTTCAGTTAATGCCTTTCTATTACTTTCAACAGACCTCTGCACTGACAGTAGAGCTTGGCAGTTCACTCTCACCCCAGCTTCCTCCAGACTTTGGGCAAATTCCTCGTCTTTCTATGCTGATTTCTACTTAGGAAACTGGCTGCAGCATAGGGCCAATCTGTTTTGTATGAACCCATTCCTGGGGTTTAAGGAAGACTTGTATCATACAACCTGACTTCTGGAAGGTGCAGTTCGGAGGCAACATCTCAGAAACTTTGGTCCTCAGACTGAAAGGCTGGCTTACAGCCAGTTCTAGGAATGCCAAGGCACACTGGATTTCCTGACACCCAAAATGACAGCCAAAGGGGTTGGCATTACGAAGTTCGTGTTTTGATCTTTATTGCAGAGAGTAATATATACTTCGATGGATTCGAGATTACAAGCAAAATTTCAGTATTTTGTGACTTTGTGAAGTAATATTTTTTTTGAGCAGCCTCCTTTAAACCACAGCAGTAAAAATAAGAGACACGTTTTGCTGCAGGGTTAAACAATCTCTTTGTGGTTAGAGAATGCATTTTTCTTATTTTGGAGTTTTAGGCTGCAGGATTTGTTGCAATGTTGCAACAGAATATAATACTTTAACGGTTTCAAAAATGAAAAATCACTCGTTTGAAATTTGATGGCTTTACAATTAAATTTTGGCAAGACATTCTGGCAATACTTACCGACAGTTTACCTACCCATTTTATAGGTTAAAAAGTCATGATGAGCAAATCCTAGTTACAGTTATAAGGCTTATGCTCAGTACTTGGATTTTAAAAATATGCACAGAGTATACTGATTTAATTTCTATTATTTGAATAATAATGAGTGATTGATTAGATTCCCTTTAGGCACATGGCGCTGTGGCTATTTAAAATATAAATAAGAATGAACCGCTTAATGAGGCTTTGAAAAAGACAAGCACAATTTTAGATTATATAAACACAGTACTATACAGTACAGTACAATTTCTAAACCACAGGACTTGTTCTATTTTATTTTGGATTAGAGACCCCTTCAAGTACAGTCTGTTCACTTTTGATATCTGGTATTTGGTTCCCTTTAAGAATTCAGGAGAATAACACGTGATTAGATTAAGATTAACACTGAGAGCAACAATTTAGTTTCTGCTTGTGGGCCCAGAGAGCAAACCCTGTGAAGAACAATGAACGTTGCTAAGCATGCTTAATTTTGAGAAGACATTATTGAAAGGGAGATACCCTATAAGAGTGCTCTTCAAATATCTGAATAGCCATCACATAAACAAAGTCTAAATACATTATCATTCCAGATGGATTTGGGCAAATCCAGTCAAAAATGAGTTCTACTTCCTAGCAATTGTATGAAGCCATTGCTGGGCTTTTACCATCACCCAGGTCTGGCTTCCTGTTGCCCTTTTCATGTCACTGTATTTAAACTGAGAGCATCTTCCAAATGGTTTTACAGTCATGGACGGGTAGGTAATTTTCCTTTTTAACTGGAAGATGAATAGAGATTGGCTGATGCATTTCCAGGATCATCTATTGATCAGGAATGGATTGATGGATGGATTGATTGATCCTCTGGGAGCAGTTCAGACTTGCAAAGACAGGTTCTAGTAAGGAAAAAGAAATCTAAGAATCTTTAATCTAGCAAGTTGATTGCTTCCCTTTTATTGAACATGTTCAGACAGATGCTGCCTGGGATGTTTTAACTGAGATTTCATCACTGAACTGTACTTGGACTCTGTGGTCTAATGTTGCCATTCCAAGTAACTGATGCCATTATTTATTTTTATTATATTATTCAAAGTGAAACACATAAGTCATTGGATACTATGGCATTTCACACACAGGGAGGAGAATGTGGTAAAATTGAAAGTTTTTAAGGAATGTTAACCTAGCTGGGTATCATGAAAACAGGCATACAAAAGAATGGGGCTCCCAGTTATTCACAGTTCAGTATAGGCCAGCTATAAGCTTCTGTGTCCCATTCATTGCAAAAATCTCATCAGACAAACTTTCTGAAATGTGGTTGGTGGCTGAGGTTTCCCCCTTGTTTTTAATCATCCAGGTTTTTTTTCTTTAGCTAGCAAACTGCTTCTGGTCCTGTAAGTGCCACAGAAGAGTTCTTTACAATTTGGAATACTGAACAAGATGCCGGCCAATTTCTGAGACGTTTTTACAGCCTAAGTGGAAAAAAATATGCAGATAGTTAAAGGAACCTAGTACACCCAGAAAACAATTAAGGCTCATCAAGAAAAAAATTAAAACAGATTTAAGTTTCTTATTATGAGCTGATGAATTGAAGTACATTTAAACATGGAAATCTAATTTTGCACCCCCCCCCCTTTCCCTGACTTTCAAATACAGGTGGTCCTAGATTTACCACAGGTCACTTAGTGAGCATTCGAAGTTACAATGGCACTGAAAAAAGTAATTTATTACCATTTTTCACACTAATGAACAATGCAGCATCCCTATGGTCACATGATCAAAATTGATTGCTTGGCAACTGACTAATATTTGTGACAGTTATAGTGTCCTGGAGACCTTTTGTGAGCTTCTGACAAGCAAAGACAATGGGGAAGCCAAATTCATTTAATAACTGTGTTACTAACTTAACAGTTGCTGTGATTCACTTAACAACGGTGGCAAGAAAGGTCGTAAAGTGGGGCAAAATTCACTTAAATGTCTTGCTTAGAAATTTTGAGCTCAATTGTGATCGTAAGCCGAGGACCGCCTATACAATTTCTTTTCAGCTGAAAACACTTTCCTCTTCAAATTCACCTTATGAGTTTTGAAATTGAATATACCAACATTATATAGAATTGAGCTGCACAAGTTGCCAGTGGATTTCTAGATGCAATTTAAGGTGCTGGTAACTACTTATAAAGCCCTTCAAGGCCTAGGCCCGGTTATTTGATAGGCCTGCCAATCTTCCTGTGATTTCTGCCTGATCAGTAAGATTAAATAGAGTTGGTGCCCTTCAAGTCGCTTCAATCAAAAAATGCTATTTATTGGAACCCAGGAAACGTGCCTTCTCAGTCATGAACCTATCCTTTGGTGCAAGACACCCCCCACCCCAAGAGAGCCAGCTTCCACACTAACAGTGCTAACAGAAAATTTAAAAACATGGCTGTTTCCCCAGGCCTTGGGACGGAGTGTTTGTGTAGCCTTTTCAGTGTTTGTATTATACGTGGGATACAACTGAAAAGCTGCTTCAGATTCTACCTTGTTTTTCTGTTTTTATACTGTAAGCTGCTCAGAGTAGTTCTAAGTCGGGTGGCCTTCCAAATCTAATCAACACATAGAGATGGGGGTTGGACTAGATGACTTCCAAGGTTCCTTCCAACTTGTTGTTGTTATTATTATTATTATTATTATTATTATTATTATTATTATTATTATTATTATTATTATTATTGTTGTTGTTGTTGTTGTTGTTGTTGTTGTTATATACCAATCAAAGAAATGAAAAATTATAATACAACAGTAAATTAAAAATGTATTTACCTGTGAGAGCCATTGATAGACAAAATTCATCTTTTAAAATCTTCAAAACTTCTTGAAGTCCTTCTTTACCCTGTCTCAAAAATGAATGGCATTGTAAATGATGTGGCTAACCTAGCTTGAAAATATAGAAAATCCTGCAGTTTTTAAATAAAAGGCTCTCGGTAACAGCATTTTCTATGATGTTAGCTGTATATTTATTTATTTATTTTGTTTCTAATCAGAATTGTCAGCGTTTAAAGCTCTGTAAAACCTGTTGACCCTATCTGAGCAAGATGCCAGTGCCTTGACTGGGGAAAAGGGGGCGTATATATTCCATTTCCAGTTCTCAAAAAATATTACTTGTCTCTTAGCCATTCCCAAGAGTATTTGGGAATCTTCACTATCTCTAACAGCATTGCTGAGAGACCAAATAAATTGGCATAGTAGGGAAGTTTGAACTAGTTATTATGTATGAACCTGCATGAACCATTTCATTTACCATCCAGGTTTCTTGGTACTATTTTGGATTGCAACTTTTTTTCATGGATTAAAATAAGTCCTTAAAACTGTCTCTGGTTTCATTTACGTATTTAACCTCCATGCAGACTTTTCATATGCTAGTTCCACCAAAGTAAATAGGGGCTCATATAAAAGCATTGAGAAGAATTTTTTAAAGGTGCAAATTGTTTCTATTGACTTTTTTTTTTTTAAATAAAGCTATCTTATTTTGCACATAGTTTTTCAAAACTATTTGCTGTTTCTCAGATATATGTCTTAACAATAAATCATCTGTGAATTTTTGAGACCATGACCCTTAGATTTTTCTGGGAACTAATGTGAGCTACTGTCAGTATAATTGTTTGTGCTTAGTGGAGTAAATTTTAGAATCTTGCAAATTTGTTCCCAGAAGAATCTAAGGATCATGGATATGTGTTCCTACTAATTATTATTATTAAGTTACTACAGTATTTTATTTGCAACATAGCTCATAACCAGAAAGAAACTGGAACCAGTGTGGCAAACAGGGATCAATTCTGGGTTAGGAGATACGATTATCAGGTAGGTCCAGAAAAAAAGATAAGATTTTATTTATTGGATACCAGAAAATGGGAACACGGAGGGGGGAGGGGGAAAGGGGAGACCCAAAAAAGTCAAAATGTCAATTTTAATTATAAATCAAGGTCCTCCCTTTTTTAATGTGTGTTATGTAAAACATGTAAAATGGGCCAAGGCTTTGATTGTATGATCATAGCCACTATCTTGACTTTTTTGACCCTGTTGCAGATGCCTTGCAAGGAGAGTTTAATTTTCTCCAGAACGGTTTAATTACAGCTTTCATTTTAGTGCAGTTCTAATGACCTTACAACATACCATCACTTTCTTCTTTTCCATTTTGCTAAACTTCCATGCCTCCAGCTATCATAAAATTCAGCAAAGTGTATTGTTGTGGCTATAATTAGGTTTATCTTTATAAGAAAGGGTATAATGATATATAAAACTACAGAGATATGCTCAAGCACATGAGAGACCAAGACTAAATGCTAGATTTATTTTTATGCCTGACCAAAAACTTGTTTGTAAAAGCTTTTGCTTCCTGAATACCAGCCTTTCTTATGGCAAATGACCAACTTGATTTAAAACTCCCTTTCTGAATAGAGATCTTTCTCTACTATTCCTGCTTGAATTATAACTTGTCATGCTAAGAGCCTGCTGCATCAGAGACATGAAGTAAATCTAAAAATGTGTGTATGTGAATACAAGCAGATGTAATGAAGCTTATTGAATAAATCAAGTTTGTACATTATGCTTGATCTTTAGACAGGCATGCAGTATGAAATCAAATGGGAAGCATTATCTAGTGTGTGCAAATCTAAAGAAAAAGGGGGAAGCTGACTTCAGTTGTTTGCATAGAGACAGCTATTTATCTTCAACTTTTTATCATAGCTACTTGTATGCAGGGAGTTAAGTTCACCTTATAAGCCAGACCCCATACAGTGGGCCTGCCGATGAAGACACATTTTGCTCCAAGTGCCAATGCTTTCAATACATCATTCCCAGTTCGTATTCCACCATCTAAGTAAACTTCAATTTTGCCTTGCACTGCGGTAGTAACTTCAACCAGAGCAGCAATCTGCAAACATGATCAATCAAATCAAATCATCACAATTGCATGGGATGGGGCAACTGTAAGTGCTTAACTAAAACAAATAGACCCCTTTTCAGTTAGTTCCCAGGTCCTCCTGCTTGAGCAGGGGGCTGGACTAGAAGACCTCCAAGGTCCCTTCCAGCTCTATTCTATTCTAATATGAAGGACATAAGCATTCTGTATAACCTAGTTGTCTATTAAAATTATTTGCCAAGAACCTCTTGTATATCTCAACAAGCCTTGCTATCCATTTGATTGGGAGGAGGAAATGGATCTTCAGGGACTGTGCTTAAGCTCAGGAATTCTTTTCAAAGAGAGACCTAAAATAAATTAACAAGTTTTGCAAAAGCTGTTTTGGGAACCTAGCAACTGGATGGAGCTCACATTTTAAATGCGGTTGTAGTTTTCTAACTTTAACTTTCCTCAGGAAGGACCCTTACGATGAAAATGCAACACTGTTTGCTATAGCCAGGTTGCAAATAGGATAAACAATGGCTCATGACTTACAGTAGGAAGGACTCCATCTAGCTGCCTTCCTCCGTGGTTGGATACGATAATCCCTTGAACACCATGTCTCACAGCTAGCTCAGCATCTTCCTTTGTCAGAATCCCTTTGATGATGATTGGCAGCTGGGTCAGGCTTTGTAGCCAGGTGATGTCGTTCCAATGGATAGATGGGTCTATGGATCCAGGGGGTAGACCATATTCAGTCTGGTCTTCATCCTAAAGGAGAGAGGAAGATTGAAATGTCATTGCCATTGTATGCTCTGTTAGTATACATATATCTGCTTAAGTAAATGCTGGCTTATTAGTCCTGCAACATTATTATAATTTAACACATCTCTGGTAGTATGATTAGGTTTGTATATAACTTATTTTTCCTGTCATTGATGCATTTGTTAAAATCTGCTGTTCCAAAATAGTTATCTTTTTATGAGGTGCTTCCAAGTCTCTTGCGTATGTCCCATGGAATGCTTAAATTCACCTAAGAACTCTCCAGCATGCTGTAATAGGCGCCTTCTGTTTTGCTGACAAGAAGATCAGAGCATCAGACTTTAAAGCTGGGAAATTTCATGAAGACCCTCCACAATTTTCTGTTGCTTCACTTTTCAACTCCCGGTATATAAGTAGCCTTTGGCTACATTTTGCCATTCCTCATTTTGTTGTAAGGAAGCCTCGTAGGTTTGCAAGAGATTGCAAGGGATCTGACAATGAGTGTTAAAATACTCTCCAGGCTAGGGACATCTGCACCCCAGATCAGCCTCAGGATGCCCAAGAACATGTCCCTTCAGTAGCTAACTCAATGGGAGAAAGTAGCAGTGTGAGCTTCCTTCCCTGGGGAGACAGAGATCCAGGAAGAGGAAGGGCAAGATGTAATTTAGTGATGAAGAAATGCCAAATATCCTTTCATAGTTAAGGAGATTTCTTCTTTTTTCTGGTCATTGCTTAGTACAGTCTGTTAGAGACTGAGCAATTACCCCAAGAACTCATTTACCATAACCAGGAAAACTTCTTGTTATCTGGGATTGCATTGCCTTTGCATGACCCTTTTCTCAAGGAGAGGTAGGTGTAACTTGGAAACACATTTTTCTTTCCTCCCTACCCCCATGGTGCATCACTAAAAGTTTGGCATTTCCACCTTAAAAAGCTGGTAAAGGCTGTCCTCACCAGGACCTTCAAAACTTTAAGAGTTGCCTGACTTTTTCACATGCAGACCATTTCTAGAGTTTGAGCCTAGAAAAAGTCCACAACAAACCCCCTTCCAGCAGATGTACATTTCTGACTATCAAGTACAAATATGCAAAGCATATGCTAGAAATCTGGATCGGGATTCAATCCAACAATCCATCCTTGAGCTTATTTTGAGGAATGTTATAGATTTAGTTTTGGATGGCTCAGTCTTTTATTACATATTACTGTATGTATAATGGTGTTCGTCATTTTCTGTGTGAATAATCAAGAAGTATAGATCACAAAGAACTATATTGTCACAATGGCTCGGTAGTAAAGATGTGGTGTGTGAATCAGTCCAGACAGGTGTTGTCTTTTTTGACCTATAAGGCCCTTTTGGTGGCATTTCTGGCCTAGGGCCAAAAAGAAAAAGTAATGGTTGGGAAATGTTGAGTTTCAGAATTTCCACAGGAAAAAGAAAAATGAAATGTCCTTCACAAAACCTCATGTACTCATATCAGTATTAAATGTTAGATATCAACTGCTACTTAAATGTCAAATATTAAGTGCTACTAATGAAATATCAAATATCTTTATTAGATAAGAACAATACAGTACAATGGACAATTTCCTTCCCGGGTTGGAAGGAAATTATCCATTCCTGCCAAATATAGAAATCCATTATTACAGCTTCCTCAAATGATGGTCATTCAACCATCTGCACAGCCATCAGACAAAATTGATCAATAATATTGGTATTTTTAAATAATTTTCAGAGAGAGAGATAATTTAGTCATCTGTTAACATTATAGGTTATTAGCAATTCAGAATGTAATACCTCAGAAATGAATTCCATATATGCGAACTTGCTATGTTCAAACATCACATGAAGTTACCCTTCAGGAAGCTCACTTCAGCCTTAGAAACAGTTTATGCCTCGGTAGTAGAAGCTGCATAAGTACAGACTGCATATTTTGGAAACTCAGCCAGGATTCTAAAATGTGCAGCATGTTTGGATGCTAAGATCCACCATCCCTTCCCTCACGTGCTTTTTCAAACTGATGGGTTTCAGGGGTTACCAACCTCAAAAGCTCCTTTAAAGTTCTTCACTTGAATGGATTTCAAGAACTCGTAGTTGTTGCGAATGTCATTCCGCCTCTTGCCAGTGTAGGGCACGTCAACTGTGAGCACCAGGGCATGGAATCCCAATGCATTAACCCTTCGTACGAGTTGCTCTGAGAACGTCCTCTTCCGATGGAGGTAGAGTTGGAACCATCTTAAACCAGTTGGTGCAGCAGCAACAATTTCTTCCACAGAGAAAGTGGAATATGTGCTGGTTATGTAGCAGGTATTCATAGCTTCTGCAGCTTTAGAAAATATGGAGGGAAGGGAGAAGAGTCAAAGCTGACTTCTTTGATTCTATAATTAAGTCTCAGCCTAATCATCTAGTGCTTCCTATGCAGCCAATAAGTCCCAATGATGCTGGTGGTACTGTAATTGAAGCTCTGTCCCTTTTGTATGTGCATCAACACTGTGTGCAGGCACAAAGGGGCAGAGCTAAAGTTGCCTATAGATGCTGCTGTGCTAAGAGGGACAGCTCCAACCTCTCTGGAGAGCCCAATTCCTACTGCAGTTTCCTGGTTATTCTAGAGCTGTGGTGGCGAACCTATGGCACGCGTGCCAGACTGGGCACACAGAGCCCTTTCTGTCAATATGCGCGCCAGAGAGACACTCCCCTCCCCCTCTCCACGTGCGCCTGACTAGTGGGAACTGGAGAGGGCAGGGAAACCGAATCCAGCAGCACTCTCGCGGGAACAGCTGTGAGAGCTGGGCGGGGAGAGGGGAACCTATAAAAGCAGGTTTTGGTGGAAATGCAGCGAGAGAGCGAGTGAGCAAGCAGATAGCCTTTGGAAGCGAAGGTGGGCGTGAGTTTGGAGAAGACAAGTAGGATGTGATGTCTGTGCTTTGCAGAAGGCTAGCGGGGGAAGAAGGACACATAAGTTTGGACTTTGGAGAAAGGGAGAGGGAGAAAGAGAGGAAGGAAGGAGGGGAGGGGGAAGGAAGGAAGGAAGGAAGGAAGGAAGGAAGGCCGGGCCCGCCAGTGCCTGCACAATTCTAATCTTTGTGATGCCAAAGCCAGCCAGCCCTTCTGCGGGAGCGCGGGGGGAGGGAGGGAGAGCGGCTACCTCCGAGCACCATGCCTGCCTCCCTTTGGGCTCACTCGGCCTCTCCCCCCATCCAGGCTGGGGCTGGTCAGATTCTCCCCATGGGCAGCACTGCATCTGTCCTGGGCAGTCCTCCTCCTCCATCCTCCTCCTCCTTCTGCAGGCGGATTGCGGCTTACTGAGTGGGTGGCGCCTCTCCCCACATGCATCCTCAGATGGAGGAGCTGGGCAGCCACAGTTCTCACTTCCCTCCGGCCTCCATCCACCCGAGGCCCAAGCTTGGTGTGCCTGGCTGGCTGGCAACAGGCTGGAGAGCACCAGATGGCGGCAGTTGCCCTGGGACTAGCGGTAGGTGGGGTGAGTGCTCCCAATGTCCACAGGGGAAGAAGCGGTGAGGAGGCTCTGCGCCCAGCCCAGTCCAGCCCCGGCAAGCAAGGCAGCATCCCCACGTGCATCCTCAAGCGTGAGCGTGCTCCTGCCCTGCCAGGCAAGAAGAGCTGCAGCATCTGTGGCAGAAGAGCGCAGGCGGGCAGCGGAAGGCACGAGGAGCCCCGATCCCAGTACAGCCCCTCCCCACCTCTCCCCCTCGGTAGAAAACCATCGTGAGACACTCTTCTGTTTTAACTTTTTTTCCTTGTCGCTTTGTGGCATTTTCATCCTGCTTTCGTGAGACAGCAGCATTTGGGAGGGGATGTAGCTGCCCCCCCAAGCCATCAGCTGAGCAAGATGCCCTCCTGCCCACTGCCCCACCCACCAGAGACCCCCTGGATTTCCCCCAACCCTGCCCGGCCTCCACAGGCATCCCTCCCCAGGAGCAACATCAAGCTGGCCATGCCCACCCTGGCCACGCCCACCCAGTCTGCCATGCCCACCGTAGCCACGCCCACCCAGCGGGCCACACCCACCCGGCACTCAGCAATACATAAGTGGGTTTTGGGTTGCAGTTTGGGCACTCGGTCTCTAAAAGGTTCGCCACCACTGTTCTAGAGATTTTGTATCAGAAGAACTGGATGCCTGGCATACACATTGCTCTGAGAGATTTCCAAAATCTTTGAAATAGTTTATTAAACAGTAAGGCTCTTCGTAATATTCTGGTGCTGTTTCCATCATCCACCTAATATTAGCAATATGACCTTATATTCCCTTGTTCCTTCTGAAGTCTACCTGCTCACCTGCAATATAATCTCTTCTGAAGGATTCTCAACAGCATCTACCTTGCATTGTTGGATATTAGGGCTATTATTCTATAGTTATAGCATTCCTTTAAATTCCCCATTTTAGGAACTGCAACAATTTTAGACCTTATTTCTGTGTGGAGCCCAAATCTGTTGATGGCGGGGGGTGACTTGTTCTATATTGCTTCCATCCTAGCCCCTTTAAGAACTCTGTGGAGATTTCATCCACTCTTGAGGCTTTTCTACTTGCCCACATGTTTATAGTTCATCTGACTTGCTCCCCAAGCTCATCAGATTCTTTTCTTGATTATGGTCTCACCTAAGTTGCCTTTCTTGTACATGTTTTCCGTTAATTCCTTGCTTTCTGTTTGCTTCTCATGTCATTGAGATGAGGTGGGAAGCTTTCCATGATTCTTCTAAGTTTCCTAAATAGAGATCCCTTGTGTTTCTTACAGCGTTATTTTTTCTCTCCTTAACTATATTTTGACTTCAGGTATACCACTTTATCACTTCTTGGAAGTTTGTATTAGTTTTCCCCAAATCAGTGGCTTTGGCTAGTTCTTTTTTTTTCCCCTTAGCTTTTTCTATAACTTGGTTTGAAAGCAGTGTATCCTTTGTTTCTTTCTGTGTCTTATTATATGCTTTCTGGTTTTCTCTTTCTTACTATCATTTTAATTTCTCTCCACAATTCTTCAGATATTCTGTCCACAAGGTTCAGGTCTTTGAAACTGTTTCTAGCTTCATATTCTTCAGAAATGTATTCAAGGTTGTATCTCATTAATTTAATCCTCTTTACTGCAAGTTCTCTTTCAGTCTGATACCTTTCTATGATTAATAGACGATGGCCTGATTCACAATCAGCCCTTGGCAATGTCTGCAAGTCAGCAGAGAACTTTTCCATTTGCTGCTACATCAGATGTAATATCTCTTGTTATGACATTGCCCACTTCAAGACCTCTTGTTACCTAGCTGTCATTTAGGTGACTGGGGAAAAAAATGTATTAGCAATGGACTTCTACATAGAAGTCTATCAGTCATTATCCTGCATTGTTGCAAGTTTCTAGTCCATATTTTCCTAACTCTAAGTGCCTTAAAAATCCAGCCCCATTTCCCTGACAGTAAGCGGCAGTGCAGTTAATACTGGCATGGAGCCAAATGAAATACCTTGGCTAGACTTTTGAGCAGGCAAGGTTGTAGCCATCCTGTTGAGGAAGAAAGCAGTGGCTGGCTGGCTGGCTGGCTGGACATAATTCTTGTATACACACACTCACATACCACTTTTATATACACGTGCATGTAAATAAGTCAGAATTCTACAGTAATTAGGCCATGCTCATTTGACTGTGTTAGAGCAGGGCTTTTCAACCTTTTCACAGATTGTACCACTTTTAGGATTGGCAATATTTGAGTACCACCAGTTGCCTAGCAAAGTGTCAGAAACTTGATGACAAAAAAAAAAAAAAAGGAAAAAAGTGATAAAGTACAGGTAGTCCTTGACTTACAACAGTTCGCTTACTGACTGTTACAACGGCACTGAAATATTAACTTATGACCATTTTTCACACTTATGACCCTTGCAGCATTCCCAGGGTCACATGATTTCCATTTGGATGATTGGCAACTGATTCGTATTTATAACGGTCACAATGTTTCAGGATCACGTGCTCCCCTTTTGCAACCTTCTGAGAAGCAAAGTCAATGGGGAAACCAGCTTCAGTTAACAGCTGTGTTACTAATTTAACAACTGCAGTGATTCACTTAATAAATGTGACAAGAAAGGTCATAAAATGGGACAAAACTCATTTAACAAATTTCTTACTTAGCAACCTAAATTTGGGGCTCAATTGTGGTTGTAGGTTGAGGACTATCTGTATACCCACTTACCACACTTTTAATAGGAAACTTGTCTCTGTTTCTCTGACATTAATCTTTGCACTGTTCTATCCCCTTCTCTCCCTCTGCTTGTCTCAAAGAAGCCTCTCCTCTTCTCCATCTCTCTTTCTCCGTCCCCTTCTCTTTCCCCGTTGTCTTTTTTTTCTCCCTTTCCCACCAAAACCTCCTCCTTTTATATCCTCTCCTCTCTCCCCCTCCTCCTCCTTTTCTCTTCTGTGCAGCTCCAGCTGACTCCTCCTCCCCAAGGCTGTGCTTTGCTCCTGGAAGCACCAATCAGCTGGAGGCCTGTGCTGATCAGCTGGAGCCCTGCATGGATCCTGGGTGCTCAGCAGAGCCCCAGCAACACCGCAGTTCCAACTGATTCTCCCACAGGCCTGTGCGGCATTGCCCTCACTTTAGCTGATCCCCCCACTACACTTTTACACTTATTTTTTCACTTTTTTTCCACCCACCATATGCGTATCACCTGCCAGGTGCTGATGTACCACCCTGCATTAGAGGAATGTATACAAAGCCAAAGTAGGAAGGGGCCAGATTGTATCTCCTTTGGGATACTTGCCATAACAATCTTCATGGCAGAGGGGGAAAGCAAAGCAAGCACCCACCTCCAAAAGTAGCTTAAGCAGGAGTAGCCCAATCCTCCAGCTATTTTTTTTATCCTTCCTTAGCTATCTATTTGGGGATCAGATTGGTTGCTTAAGGCACCCTTGCCTCCTGGAGTGCCATATATTTTGCATGCATGCATGTCATTCCCTACTAGAAGAAATTGAGTGGACTCACAATGCAGATACTCTGTGAGAAATAGGTAGTGTGTTCTGCTCTCTCTCTCTATATATAAATGTACAATTACAATTACCATTAAGTTTGAAAGCTGATAGATAGATAGATAGATAGATAGATAGATAGATAGATAGATAGATAGATAGATAGATAGATAGATAGATAGATAGATACTGTAGATAGATTTATAATGGTTTGTTTTCTTTTGAACCAACTATAATCTTATACCAAATCCCAGTTTATTATATGATAAATTATTTTTGGCCTTTACTGTTGCTAGGGAAAAAGATTCTTGCATACCTTGAGCTGTGCTCTGCTCCCCATCAGGACAGGCCAAACCATGGAAGCCAGTGGGAGCAATCCCCACTGGGAAGTCAACTTCAGAGCCAAGAATCGTAGTCCTTGGATCTATTGCTGACATATCCCGCAGCACACGTGGCCTCAAATAGATTCTGTGGGATAAAGAGAAAGCAGAAGCAACAGGACTGATAAGAGGTAATACCGTGTTTCCCTGAAAATAAACCCCACCCCCCAAAAAACACCTACCCTGATTTATGGGGGTAGGCCTAATATAAGCCCTACTCCCAAAATAAGCCCTAATTAGGACCCCGCCCACTCCATCCCACCTGGCTACCACAATGGGGCAGGAGGCCGTGCAGCACATTGCGCCACTGCCACCACAACAAAGTGAGGCAGGTGGGGGAGGGGTGGAGCTGCCCCACGCGCCCTGTACCCGTTTCCTTCAGGGCTCCCCAGCCAGGCCATTCCTTGCTCCCTTTCACTCCCCTCCTGAGCCCGACTGCCATGCTACCATATGGAGGATGGGCAGGGTAGACCTGGTCCCCCTCCACCATTTTGGAGCCAGGGGGGAGTGATGGCGAAAGGCTCCACTGCCGCTGTGCGCTGCTGGAGGGGCTTTCTTCAAGCTCTGCCCCACAGATCACCTGCCTGGTGGCAGCCACCACCTCCTTCTCCGCCAACTCTCCCATGGCTTGCACTGTGACCATCGCCTCCCTCCGCCAGCCCTCCGTCACTGCCACTGGAGACAACGGAGAACAGGGAGGGGAACAGCTCTGCACAGCAATGCAGAGCAGAGAAGAGCACTTGCTTGCCGCCCTGCATCACCCCGCATCTCCCTTCTCCATTCTCGAAATGGCAGCCCCGTTTCCTGTCGCTTTTCCTCCCGGCGCTGCTGTAGAGCTTGGTGCACCATCGCCCAGCTCCTCCCTCTTCCCGAAAGCAAAAAAGTTCTTCACTAACCTGCTTTCCAACTCTGGCGTGTTTCTCTCCTGCTGCAGGGAAATGGAGTTCGTGAGACTAAAAAAAGTTCAGTCACACCTTCCAACTTTGGCAGGAAACGGGGCTGCCAAAGTGAAAGGGTGCAAGGAATGGCCTGGCTGGGGGGGGGCTGAAGGAAGCGGGTGCGGGGTGCATGGGGCAGCTCCACCCCCTCCCCCACCTGCCTCGCCTCATTGTGGTAGTGGCAGCGCGAAGTGGGCCAGCAGCCATGCGGGCTTCTGCTGGATGGGGCTGTTGGTGCTGCCGCCACCGTGAGCCGAGGCAGGTGCCATGGAAAATATGAGGCACCGCCCAAAAGTAAGACCTAATGCCTCTTTTGGAGGCAAAAATAATATAAAACCAGGTCTTACTTTTGGGAAAATACAGTATTACTGAAGAAAGTCCAGAAAAATGAAACCTCCATATCTATCTGCTTATCCATTTATTTACTTATCCATTATTCAATCTACCATAATAACCTCAAGCAACATCCTAGATTTTGTCATGTATCTTGAATTCTGCAATGGCTGAGAGCAGCCAAATGTGTGTTGCAAAAGTGGTATGTATGTCATTGCTGCCATCTAGATGTCCAGAAGTTTTCAATGCAGATTTGATAGCCCTGCAGTGGCACCAATTTTGCTCCATTTGTAAGGGATATGAAGAAGATATGAATCCATATGCAACCCTGTGAAGGAGAGTGTTTTTGGTATTGCTAGTCTTGATTCCTCGTGACTGCATGGAGATGTCCCTGCTGTTTTCTTGGGAACATTTACAGAAGTGGTTTGCCAGTGCCTTCTTCCTATGCTTGAGAGACAAGGACTTGCCAAAAGTCACCTAGCTGGCTTCCTGCCTCTGGGAAAACTGGAATTGGGTTTCACCGCTTCTGAATTTGGCACTTTAACCACTACACTGAATAGCCTTTGAAGGAGAGATGCCATAGTCTGTTAAAACAAAAATTACCCTTGCATTTACTCAGCTACTCAGTTAACTCTTTCAGTGACAAAGAACAGTAATCTTGCTGAACACTGAAGAAGACCCTAGTACAGAGAAGAGAGAGAACAGCCATCTTTTCTACTTGGATATAAAAGTTTCAGGTAGTCAGTCCTTTTATTATGTAAGCTTAGTTTTCTCATCCTAGTGCCCACACAAATGCAGGAACCATGCTGGCTAAGAAACAGAGATTTGTAAGTATGCTATAAATTTTCTAAATGCATGCTATGCCTCCACTGGCAAATGCTATGAGAGTCCTCCTGTTTTGAAAGGTTGGATGTTTCTTATAGTGCAAGTGGAACCAGGAACTATTTCAACAACTCTGAGGTAACCAGAAACAGGTTTAACCATCCAGGAGTGATTACTTTCTGCTGCTCTGTAGCAAGCTAGGCTGTTTCACACACTTCTTTGAGACGTGGCCAGAACACTCATCAAAACTAGGGTGTTACGAAACATCAGTTGTTAGCCTATTCAGAGCCAACTTCTTTTCCCAAATCAAATTTCTAGTCTAGTGAATACCAGACCATTCATATCTATCTGAGTTTGCATCAGATAGTGAATCAGGAGAATACAATTCAGTTGGCTTGGTGCTACATCTCAAAGTGGATACATCTGACTCAGTTACGAATCACTATCTTCTTTCGAAGACTTACTTTATATCCTACCTTTTATATTCCATGAGATTGTCATCACGCGTATAACATTCATCAGCACCTGCTGCAAAATAATCCCAGATAGGCTTGGGAAGATGCTTTTTAGCATAAGCTTCAAAATCTGACAAACAGACAAGAGTCATTTCAAAGCAAAGTGAGAGAACCTGGTAGGAAGAGAGAGAAACTGAATAAATACAACAGGTATAGAATTCCAGGTGAAAATCCTAAAGTAAAGATGAAAAAGAAATAGTGGTAAAATCAAGAACCTACCAGGGATGAACAAGATCTCACAAAAGTATCTGGAGTTCATTTAGGTCATCTCAGAAATATAAGCCAAGCAAAATATGTTGTAATTCCAAGTTATTCTTTTATTATATATTTATACTCACCTTCACCCAAAAAGGATTAAAAACGTGAAATCCACTTCCCTGCCTAGTCTACAGACCTGGTTTTCTTATCATCCTCTATTCAAACAGCCAGATCCAACATAATCACCACCAAGATAAACCCATTTTATTGAGCACGATGATACGGCTCACCATTGTTATCTTTTTTGCTTTTTTTTTCTTTAAAAAAAAAAGCAAAATGTTAAGAACTTTTTCATTCTTGACAGAATCTGATAACTTGTGTAGGCATAGCTGCCTATTCTGTGGAAATAAAGCTAGCCAGAGGTTGGAGAAATTATATATATAGACGACCTTGTGTGGGAAGCTTCTACAGTTTGGACTGGAGAGAAATGATTCATTCGTTTTCCTATCTGTGGCAGGCAGCTTCAATTAAAATGACAGAAATTGCTATAATGCCCTTTGGTAACAAATTACCTATAAGAAAAGGACAGGTACATATATTACTTTGCATTATTGTATTGTTGAAGCTGATTTGTGGGTCAGAAATAAGTGCCAAAGTGTTCATTTTCCCTAAATTCTCCATGTGTGGTCACATGAACTGCAACCTCTAAAACAGTGGTTCTCAACCTGTGGGTCGGGACCCCATTTGGGGTCGATCGACCATTTCATGGGGGTCACCAAGCAAGGCTGTCCGCCATTTTTTTTGTCCGCCATTTTTTTTGTCCGCCATTTTTCCCCCCTTTTCCGGCGGGTGCCTTACATCCCTTGGGCTGGGCCAGCTGGTGGTCGGCCTGCTCCGTCTCTGCCGCTTGCCAGCTACGCCTCGGCCGGCGCAGGGGACGGAACCACACATGTGCGGCGCTCCCGGGCAGGGAAAGTCCTCGACTTACGACCGGTTGGGTAGTCCTCGACTTACGACCGGTTTAGTCCTCGACTTACGACCGGTTTAGTCCTCGACGTACGACTGGTTTAGTCCTCGACTTACGACCGGTTGGGGTCACGGCATTAAAAAGGTTGAGAACCACTGCTCTAAAATATTCTAGAATAGGAAGGGATATAATCCTATCAATATGTAGAAAGTTCGAACTTCAACAAGTAAATTTTTGTAAAGGAAACTGTAACAAAATCATAGAATGCCAAGTATGTTCTACGTAGAACAACATTTCATTGGTCTCCAAGAATGCCTGCACTGATGAATGTCAGGAGATGGGCTGCAGTGGGGGACTTCTAATGAAGTGAACTATTGCCCACATCTTTCTCCACTGCATACAGATTGCAGGGCATTATAACCAAAAAGGCAGCTGGAAGTGAAACCTTGATTGCCAAAATTATCTCTGGAATAAAGAGAACTCTGGTAATTGCCCACATGTACTTTACCACAGCTGATTTCTCACCACAGCAGAAATCAACATTTTTGTAACCATAAGATCAACTGGAAGTCATGGGTTTCATTGTGTTCTGAGTCACAAATGCAGCCTTTCATGGGCTCAAGGTTTGACAAAAACCTCACCTTTTAAATCACTTTGGAGTTTATTTTATTTTTTTGCTTATTTAAAATTGGCAATAGGAAAACCTGTGGTATAGACAGGGAGGAAGCTAACCACCAGATTGTGAAAACACGAGTGAGCAGCTAGACAAGGAGACCCAAACTCATTGGGAGTCTCATACTGCAGTCAATAAGGACATGCATTCCATTTTGCAGCTACTACCATGTTTCCCCAAAATTAAGACCCACTCTGAAATAAACCCTAGCTTAATTTTTGAGGGTGGGCCTAATATAAGCCCTACCCCCAAAATAAGCCCTAGTTTTGGGGCGAGGCACACACCTAAAAATCAAGCTAGGGTGGGAGTGGAGTGTATGGAGCTGCCCCACGTGCCTTGCACCCGCTTATCTTGCAGCCAGGTCTCTCCTCTCAGGCCCACTTCTTCTGTGGCATCCCCAG